AAACCAAATTTTCATTACTTAAATTACAAAGCTAGATAAAATATTTCACCAGCCGGGGGATTCTTAACTAAATACTTCAATATCGATTCGTTTCTGTTTATAAGCTATGTCTGTCTCTTATACACATCTAGATGTGTATAAGAGACAGGTGATGCATAAGTGAGTCAAGTGATGGACAAGTGAGTCAAGTGATGGACAAGTGAGTCAAGTGATGGACAAGTGAGTCAAGTGTTAGACAAGTGAGTCAAGTGCTGGACAAGTGAGTCAAGGGACTTTAAAGTGAAAAAGATTAACGGTTTACTTAATATGTTAAAAATAAGGTACAGGGGCTATAGTTAAAAAAAGGGAAACACATGAGAAATTCACATAAAATATTTTAATATGACGTATGTCCATCTTTAGCGGAACTAACAGCTTCGTGTATTAATTAAAACAAATTGTGATTATTGATATTCAAATTCAAATATATTCATTGATATTCATATTAATTACATGATATTATTCATGTCATTTGTGGTGGTCAAATATGAAGTGTTCAACTTCATTAGAATGTTCCTCGTGCCATTTTTTTCGTTTTTATTTTTATGTCTTTATTTTATTTTACATTTTTAGCGTTTTTATTTTTATGTCTTTATTTTATTTTACATTTTTAGCGTTTTTATTTTTACCCTTATAAGCGGACTCTGGGGCCCTTATAAGCGGACTCTGGGGCCTTATAAGCGGACTCTGGGGCCCTTATAAGCGGACTCTGGGGTCCCTTATAAGCGGACTCTGGGACCCTTATAAGCGGACTCTGGGACCCCAGCGAGTGGACTCTGGGGTCCAGAGTGGGGGTCTCTAAGCGTACTCTGGGGCCCTTATAAGCGGAATTTAGGGCACTAATAATTTTAATTTAGGGCACAAGTCTTCTTCAAAGGATAAAGCTTTAGTTTAGTTCACATGTATATCTTAGCATCGCTCGACCATGTCACCCGTTTTAGGCAAATCTCGACGGTTTTGAATAATTAATTAATTTTAATTAAATTAATTCAATATAAGTTAAATTTTATCTAAATTACGTTAATTGTAAGCGTTTACTTGCGCAGGACGAAACGACCGACGCCATCGAGTGCACCTCCATCATGGCGGCCGAGCCTGCAGGTGGGGGGAAGATGTGTATAAGAGACAGNACACAGCACTACACAGCACTACACAGCACTACACAGCTTCTCTCTCACACAGATGGCGCGGCAGCATATACAAGCTTGTGTGGCAGGAGCTGGCTGTGTACTGTGCGTGTTACACAGCACTACACAGCACTACACAGCACTACACAGCTTCTCTCTCACACAGATGGCGCGGCAGCATATACAAGCTTGTGTGGCAGGAGCTGACTGTATACTGTGCGTGTTACACAGCCGTGGCCCTCGTGTATAGATTCGCCCTCACCGAGGCCCAGAAGAGGTGAGTACACAGCTGTATACAGGGTCATGTATAGTATAGTATAGTATACAGGGTCATGTGTAGTATAATATACAGGGTCATGTGTGGTATAGTATACAGGGTCATGTGTAGTATAATATACAGGGTCATGTGTGGTATAGTATACAGGGTTATGTGTAACCTTGTAGTACACAGATAATACAGCTCTGGGTTATTTATCTTGTATTATTTCAATATACATGTAATACAGCTCTGTATTATATGCATTATATTATTTCAAACACATATAATACAGCTCTGTATTATATACCTTGTGTTATTTCAATATGTACATAATACATGCCATGTATACCGTGTTAAAGCACAATATTACTGTCAAAGTTCCCGTATGTGATACAATATTACAGCTGGATGAGTCTCGCTCCCGCAACAATATTACTGTCAACGGCCCCGTATGTGATAGATTATTACGGCTGGATGAGTCTCGCTCCCGCAACAATATTACTGTCAAAGTTCCTGTATGTGATAGAATATTATGGCTGGATGAGTCTCGCTCCCGCAACAATATTACTGTTAACGGCCCCGTCTGTGATAGAATATTATGGCTGGATGGGTCTCGCTCCCTCAACAACATTACTGTCAACGGTCCAGTATGTAAAAGAATATTATGGCTGGATGAGTCTCGCTCCCGCAACAATATTACTGTCAACGTTCCCGTATGTAAAAGAATATTATGGCTGGATGAGTCTCGCTCCCGCAACAATATTAGTGTTAACGGTCCCTGTATGTGATAGAGGATGAGTCTCGCTCCCGCAACAATATTACTGTCAACGTTCCCGTATGTAAAAGAATATTATGGCTGGATGAGTCTCGCTCCCGCAACAATATTAGTGTTAACGGTCCCTGTATGTGATAGAATATTACGGCTGAGTGGGTCTCACTCTCGCAACAATATTATTGTCGACGGTCCCGTATGTGATAGAATATTATGGCTGGATGGGTCTCGCTCCCGCAGGATATTCGAGGGCATCGTGCTGCACATCGACCAATACATCAACCTCATCCCCATGGCGTTCGTGTTGGGCTTCTACGTGAGCATCATCATGACGCGATGGTGGGACCAGTACATCACCATCCCCTGGCCTGACTCTCTGGCCGTCTTCGTATCCTCCAACGTCCACGGCCAGGTAATTATCCTCTTCCAGTGGCTGCAGGTCCACTTCCAGCAAGCAGTATCCTCTTCCAGTAGAAGAGGATACTGCTTCTAACCTGACGTTACTTAACCTAACCTGACCCTACTGCTTCTAACCTAACCTAACCTAACCTAACCTAACCTAACCTAACCTAACCTAACCTAACCTAACTTAACTTAACCTAACCTAACCTGACCCTGGCCTGACTCTCTGGCCGTCGTCGTATCCTCCAATGTCCACGGCCAGGTACGACGCACGTATCTGGATACGTATTCTCTTCCAGTGGCCAGGTATGGGGCACGTATTAAGTTTCCTCTTCCAGTGGGGTAAATCATGCCCCTCCCCGCGTGTCACGTGCGGGGTGGGGCTGCTGTTGGGTCAGGAAGAGTGTCACAGTCAGTCAGTCAGGAACAGTGTCACAGTCAGTCAGGAAGGGTGTCACAGTCAGTCAGGAAGGGTGTCACAGTCAGTCAGGAAGAGTGTCACAGTCAGTCAGGAAGGGTGTCACAGTCAGTCAGGAAGGGTGTCAGAAGGTGGCCGAATCAGGAAGACTGTGGGTAAAGAAGAGAAGAAAAGGAGGGATGGATGGGCTGGAGTGAGGCAGAGTCGAGAGGAAAGGAAGGATGGGAGGGCTGGAGGGAGGCCGATACGAAAGAGAGACGAGGGAAAGGAAGGGTGGGAGGGCTGGAGGGAGGCAGAGATGAGAAGAAAGGAGGGATGGGAGGCTAGAGGGAGGCCGATACGAAGCAGAGACGAGGAAAAGAAGGGATGGAAGGGCTGAAAGGATTTGACAAGTAAGGTCCAGCTGGGCGATAAGGGAAGGACGCCTGTATCAGTATGGAGGTGGTCTAAGGAAGTCATTTCGCAGAATCAGGTGAATAACCCCGAGGCCATCTTCAAAATAATCTATAGGTTTGTAACGGTGGTGCGGCGGGCGATGAATTACCTACCAGGGACCATACTTTGAAAACTCGCAAAGTGAACGTAAGTACTTACGCTCTGTTTTCTTGTCTATGATTTGTGGATTTTTCTCGAAAGGCCGTCAATGATTGGCTGATGAACTTACGATCTCTTAACTTTTTTTCAAAGTATAGGACCAGATTGGAAACCTGTAGTTAAGGTTTGGGCGCGTGAGGTGGAAACGATGTCCTTCGAGAAGGCTCTGCATGAGGATGCGTAGGAGGGAGCGATTAGTGCGTGTCCCTAGTGACTCCCAGTAATGTTTCCCCCACGTTTGTCCAGGAGGAAGATGCCGTTACAGAGTGTGGAAAAAGGATGTGTGTGTGATTAATGGAAATTGGGGGTTGATGAGCGTTGCAGAAGACTTGCCAGCGGTAAGGTCAATTTTTAGCGGTGGCCTAGTCAGCGACACCTGCGAGGTTGTTGTTGCAATGACTGTTAGTGGCAACTAGTAAAGGATATTTGTGATAGGTCTGTTGCTCACGGCACTATAAAAGCCACAGGTAGTTCCACGACCATCACTGGTTGGCTGACTCGCCAGAACCATTTTTGCATTACACAACACCCTGGACAAGCCAGGTACCTAAGCCGATGGCGAAGTCCGTTACCGAAGCCTTGAGGTTTGTTAGGACGCAAAGAAGTTGAGGCCGTCGCCTTAGGAGTCAATGCTGCATATACTAGTACTAAAATGTCAGTTTTGAAGTGGTTGATGAGTGTAGGGGAAATAACAGATACTGGGGTTACTCCTGCGTGAATTTCTGTATAGGATGATTGCGTTCTGAGGTAAAGGCTGGACATCGATCTCTCGAACGCCTTCGTGATATCGACCGCCGCTGCCTTGGTGCTGGCTGGAAGCCGTCGTGAATTAAAGCCCTTCACGATCGGGTGAAGAAGCGGGAGAAGAGGGGAGAATTGAGTGCCACGGTCTGAAGCCATGTTGTGATGCGGGTGTGACACGGGTGATGGGCGTTGAGGGTAGGCGACGGTAATAGACGTGGGTGGTATCAAACCAGTGTTTGGGATATGCCTTCCTACTTTCCGCTGCTCTTGCGTTGATTTAGAAATTTCTGACTATTTGATTTGCTAACGTTGAGGGACGTTGGACATACCAACCTAAAGTGACCACACTCACGCATCTCACGCTCCCCGCAGAACGACACAGCGCGCGTGATGCGGCGGACGCTCATGCGCTACGTGAACCTCTCCTTCGTCATCACCATGAGCATGATCAGTCCACGTGTCAAGAAGCGGTTCCCCACCATGCAGCATTTGGTGGAGTCAGGTACGTCATTTGAGGGCCTTGGATGACATGGTTTAGGGGTATTATAGAGTGTGTATTGTGCACTGTTTAGGCCAACCCTTCAGGGTGCTGTGATCTTGTCCCTGATCACCTTGGGCAATGTGAAAATGAGGGCCTCGAATAGACCTAGTCCTCCACTTCAAATAAACTCTATAAACGTTACAGACTAATTTTGAGCCCGTTCAGCAAGTATGCCATCCCGTCATGAATTCTACCCCTTGTCGAACAGGTTTGGCTGTTAGTGTTCTTATCAATACCCTTAATAATATCACCACCGAAATATTGACAGCCTGCGACAGGGTGTTACAGTTGTCATCCAGTGAACATCGCTAGGTTTCTGAACATAATTAGAGCTCATGAGGCCTAAAGGCCTCTTGACGGTACTAGAGCTGGTAACGTGTCCTACACATCATATTCCTCCTTGCACCCCTAGGCCTCCCCAATACATCCTATACCCCGCTTGCCTCAGGCTATATAACGTGTCCAATGCTTCATATTGCCCCCTGGTCTCCTGACGGGGCAGAGTTGATAACGTCTACTGTAACGTGTTCAACGCATCCTATTTTCTCCTCAGGTCTCCTGACGGAGCAGGAACTCATGATCTTCGAGATCCTGAACGCCAAAACCGCCAACCCGAAGTACTGGCTGCCCCTGGTGTGGGCAGGAGCCATCGTGACCAAGGCACGCAAGCAGGGAAGGATCAGGGACGACTTCGCCCAGAAGACTATCATGGATGAGCTTAACAACTTCAGGAAGGGCTGCCGCCTCCTGCTCAGCTACGACTACGTCAGCGTACCTCTCGTGTACACGCAGGTATCCGTAACTACGTATTCGTAGACTATGAGTTAATGGCCAGCCTGTTATGCCCGTCAACACGTGGCGTTAGCTATTTTTTTCACAGTGTCAACTTGTGACATTAACTCTGTTGTCCCCGTGTAAATAGATAGGATTTACATCTGTTGTATCCTGTTCACCTGGTATCTTTAACGCTGTTATGTCCCTGTCAACAGGTGGTGACGCTGGCCGTGTACACCTTCTTCATCAGTACCATCGTGGGCAGGCAGTTCTTGGACCCGAGTAGAGGTGAGTTTAACCATCCTTGACCCGGTCAGGAGGGAGGTCAGCAATGCTGGACTTGGATTAATAAAATTATTTCATTACACCACATCGTCCGCTTCCCGGTAGAATACCCCTTTTAATAAGAACTATTTAATTTTGCCTGATTTTGAAGATTATTTCCAATTTTTTAGGCATTAAGGGGCACAAGGTGGACATGTATGTGCCCTGGTTCACGATCCTGCAGTTCTTCTTCTACATGGGGTGGTTGAAGGTAGCCGAGTCCCTCATCAACCCCTTCGGTGAAGACGATGACGACTTCGAGACTAACTCTCTCGTCGACCGCAACGTCCAGGTGACCACTTCGTCCTCGAAGGCAGTGTGAAATTCTCGAGTCATATACATGAACATAGAAAAATAACTATATGGAACGGAAAATGCATCATGGAATAGAGGAACTCGCTGCAGTACAGGGCCTAGGGGAATTCTACCTCTCCTCTCCTCCATTGTTTCTGATGGACAAACCTCTGTTTGTTTTTACCCTACTAGAATTATGGTACAAACAATTACAATTGTCAGCTCAACACTCCCATGGAAGTCGTCGGTTCACCGTTCCCAAAGTGGTCGTTTGTTCAATATTCTCATGGCGGTCGTTGGTTCAACTTTCATAAGTTGCTTGTCTGTTTAACTTTCCCAAGTTAGTCATCGGTTCAACGTAGTCAAGGTGGTCGTCGGTTCAACGATGTCATGCTGGTCATCGGTTCCAAGTTCTCGAAGTGGTTGTAGGTTCCACGTCTTCAAGGTTGCTGCATGTCCTCAAGGTGGCGTAAGTTGTTTGTTAACAAGGTGGTCGTAGTTTCAACCTAGCCAGAACATTTATCCCTGCACGTAGGTATCCTACGTGCCTGTTTAATTTTCATGCCGACCTACTCTCAGGTTTCCTACTTAACTGAACATGCCACTCTACTCGCTGGTATCCTACTTCACTCTACTTGTAAATTTATTCGCAGGTATCCAACCTCACTCTACTTGTCAATCTATTTGCAGGTATCCAACTTCACTCTACTTGTCAATCTACTCGCAGGTATCCTACTTCACTCTACTTGTCAATCTACTCGCAGGTATCCAACTTCACTCTACTTGTCAATCTACTCGCAGGTATCCTACCTGATCGTGGACGAGATGCACGAGGACCATCCTGAGCTCATCAAGGACATGTACTTCGAGGAGGTGGTACCAGCAGCGCTACCATACACTGTCGCCAGCGAACAGTACAGGGCCAACCAGGCTATCAACCACGGTGAGTACCACTCATTTCGGCGATCGGCAATGAGAGGCCCCTCGGTACTTGCTTTTTCATTTTGGGTGGGGAGTGGTCGGGTCAAGTGGTATGCAGGTGGGGTTTGGAGGCACTGTATGTTGGGTCGGGTTGAAAGGTACCTAGATCGGGTCAGGTGGTACCTAGATCGGGTTGACAGGTAGCTAGATCGGGTTGGGAGGTGCCTAGATCGGGTCCGGAGGTACCTAGATCGTGTCAGGGGGTACCTAGATCGGGTTGGGAGGAACCTAGATCGGGTCACGGGTACCAAGATCGGGGCAGAGGTCCCGTAAGATTGTTTGAGAGATACCGCCGCTCGGATCTGGAAAATCCTTAGTTTCCTTAGCATGTATTTTGGACGTAGCAGTCCCAAGCCACGCTGGACGTAGCAGTCCCAGGCCACGCTGGACGTAGCAGTCCCAGGCCACGCTGGACGTAGAAGTCCCAGGCCACGCTGGACGTAGCAGTCCCAGGCCACGCTAGACGTAGCAGTCCCAGGCCACGCTGGACGTAGCAGTCCCAGGCCACGCTGGACGTAGCAGTCCCAGGCCACGCTTCACGTAGCAGTCCCAGGCCGCGCTGGACGTAGCAGTCCCAGGCCACGCTGGACTTAGCAGTCCCAGGCCACGCTGGACGTAGCAGTCCCAGGCCATGCTTCACGTAGCAGTCCCAGGCCACGCTGGACGTAGCAGTCCCAGGCCACGCTATACGTAGCAGCCCCAGGCCACGCTAGACGTAGCAGTCCCAGGCTGGACGTAGCAGTCCCAGGCTCGACGTAGCAGTCCCAGGCCACGCTGGGCGTAGCAGTCCCAGGCCACGCTGGCTTCTTGTTTCTCAAGGTCTCTTCTTTCGGTGCCCTGCAGGGTCGACGGCGGAGCTGAAGGTGCCGGAGCCGCTGCAGGAGATCATGGAGCCTATCATTGAGGAGAAGTCGCATAGTGTGGTGGAGACCCTCATCGGGGGGCTGGTGCAGGAGAAGTACAAGGAGGTCACCGTAAAGGTGGAGGTGAGGGCTTTAAAGTAGTGGAGTACCCTCATCGTGGGGAAGGGGGCGGTGATGATATATCTGCCATGTGGTGACGTGCCCTCTGTGATGACGTACCCCCTGTGATGATGTACCCTCCGTGATGACATGCCTTCTGTGATGACGTACCCTCCGTGTGATGACGTACTCTCTGTGATGACGTACCCTCAGAGTGATGACGTACCCTCTGTCATAACATACCCTCTGTGATGACATTCCCATCGTGTGATGACATTGTGCTGTGTTCACCACAGCGGAAGGCATCACAGCCGGACGCCCAGAGCGTCTCCAGCAGGCGGTCGTCTGGTGCATCGGGCATCGCCACGCCCGGCAGACGAAGGAAGAGTTTCTTCGCCCGCGTCGCTGATAAGATGTCGTCCCCCAAACTGAGCCGAGGTATACCACATGTATATTATATATATAACTATATACATTAGTCGGTTAATAGCGGGACGTTTTGTCGTCCCCCAAACTGAGCCGAGGTATACCACACGTATATATACTAATATATACTAGTAAATACTAGTATAAATTTGTGCTAGTAGCAATTTTCAATAAATTTTCAAACAACAATTAAATAAAAAACGTTTACTAGCAAGACCTAGTTCATCCTTTCCTATACAATACTGATAACAACTATGGCTATATAATGTTCATAAAACTGTATGCGTGTATACAATACAGATAAAAACTATGGATGTGTATAATATTCATACAATTGAATGGCTGTATACTGTACATATAATGCATATCTATAATATTCATACAACTGAATGCGTGTATACAATACTGATAACAACTATGGCTGTGTATAATGTTCATGCAACTGTATGGCTGTATACTATACATACATTGCACGTACGTGTATCATGTTCATACAACTGTATGCCTGTATACTATACAATGTGTGTCTCTGCAGTGCCCAGCGCGAGCGGCAGCATCCGCACCATCAGGAGCCTTAAGAGCGCCAAGAGCCTCACCAGACAACACGACCGTTTGGCCGAGCAGGTGGGCGAGGGGGAGGTGTTGGAAAGGCGGTGATGAAAGGGGGGAAGAAGGTGGGGGAAGTGGTGTTGGGAAGGGGGTGATGGGCCCTTTTTAGCTGACACTGGGACCCCAAAGAGTTGACTCTGGAGTCCTTATAAGCGGACTCTGGGCCCCTTATAAGCGGACTCTGGGTCCCTTATAAGCGGACTCTGGGTCCCTTATAAGGGGACTCTGGGTCCCTTATAAGCGGACTCTGGGACCCTTATAGGGGGTTTGTGGGTTTAGGGTAACTTATATGATGGTTTTGAAGGTAAACATTCAAAGTTTCAATGGTAAAACGTTTGGGTTTGGGGGTATTTTAAATAAAGGTTCTAAGATTATAAATTGATGTCATAGTGGGCAAAAGATGGGGGTTTTGGGTGTAACTTCGAAGAGTCTAGAGTAATTTCAAAGACAGTCTGGGTAACCTCAAAGACAGCATGGGGTAACTTTAAAGATGGTCTGGGGTAATTTTAAAGACAGTCTGGGGTAACTTTAAAGACAGTCTATGGTAACTTTTAAAGACAGTCTTGGGTAACTTTAAAAGACAATCTAGGTAACTTTAAAGAGTCTGGGGTAACTTTAAGGTCAATCTAGGGTAACTTTTAAAGACAGTCGAGGGTAACTTTTAAAGGCAGTCTAGGGTAACTTTTAAAGACAGTCTAGGGTAACTTTTAAAGACAGTCTAGGGTAACTTTTAAAGACAGTCTAGGGTAACTTCTAGAGACAGTCTAGGTTAACTTTTAAAGACAGTCTAGGGTAACTTTTAAAGACAGTCTAGGTAATTTTAAACACAGTTTAGGGTAACTTTAAAGCTAGTTTAGGGTAACTTTTAAAGACAGTCTAGGTAACTTTTAAAGACAGTCTGGGGTAACTTTTAAAGACAGCCTAGGGTAATTAAAAAGACAGACTGGGGTAACTACAAAAACAATCTAGGGTAACTTCAAGGACAGTCTGGGGTAACTTTAAAGACAATCTAGGGTAACTTTTAAAGACAGTCTAGGGTAACTTTTCAAGACAGTTTAGGGTAACTTTAAAGACAGTCTAGAGTAACTTTAGAGACAATCTAGGTAACTTTTAAAGGCAATCCAGGGTAACTTTTCAAGATAGTTTAGCGTAACTTTAAAGGCAGTTTAGGGTAATGATGCTCACCATCTTGCAGAGGAAGGCGATGATGACGTCATCACCCTGAGCGACGCAGGCTCACTATCATCTATCCTTGGCAAGAAGTCGTCAAAAGTTCTCCCTAAAGTCGAGTGACGCCCCCCCCGCCGCCCCCCGCCA